CCCCCCGCCCCCCCCCCGGGGCCCCGGCGGCCCCCCGGGCGGCCCCGGCCGCCCCCCCGGCCCCCCGGGCCCCCCCCCCCCCGGCGGGGGGGGGGGCACAAGGGGGATATGGAGAGATAGGGATGCTGTGAAAGGAAGTACAGGGGGATACAGGGGCTATGAGTTTATAGGGGGAGGCTATAGGGAGATGTGCAGCTAGAAGGCCCAGATATAGGCCCAGATAAAGGGACTGTGTGGGGGGGAAATAGGGGAATATGGGGCCATAGGGGCTGTATGAGGAATAGAGGGGGATATGTGGCTACAGGGAGCAGTGGGGGGGGGGCTATAGGAGGGGTGTGGGGCTAGAAGGTCCAGATATAGGGACTCTGGAGGGGAATAGGGGAATATGGGGCTATAGTAGGGGGGATATAGGGAGGATATAGGGAGATAGTGGACTGTGGGGGGGGGGCTACAGAGGGTTATGGGGGTGGCTATAGGGCTAGAAGGCCCAGATAAAGGGATTACAGGGGGGAAATAGGGGGATATGGGGCTATAGGAAGCAGTAGGGGGGATATGGGGAGGATATAGGGAGATAGTGGACTGTGGGTGGGGGCTACAGAGGGTTATGGGTTTATTGGGGTGGCTATAGGGGGATGTAGGGCTAGAAGGCCCAGATACAGAGACTATGGGGGGCTGTAGGATTGATAGAGGAGGATATAGGGCTTATGGGAGGAGGGGGGGTGCATAGGGAAATAGCAGGCTGTGGAGGGCCTATAAGGAGGGCTATAGGGGGGTGTGGGGCTAGAAGGCCCAGATAAAGGGACTACAGGGGGGAAATGGGGGATATGGGGCTATAGGGAACCATGGGGAGGCCATAGGGGGGATATGGGGAGATAGGGGGCTGAGGGGGGGTTTAGGGGGAAATAAGGGGCTATGGGCTTATAGGAGGGACTATAGGGGGATGTGGGGCTAGAAGGCCCAGATATAAGCACAGATACAGAGGTTATGGAGCGACAGGGGGCTGCAGGAGGGCTACAGGAGGATACGGGGCTACTGCTCCTGTGCGAGCACACAGCCCTGGGGGTAAACCATTCTGCGCTCCTCTCTGCAGAAAGGGATTATAGAAAAAATGCGGGAAGGAACCGAAACTCACCTTCCAAAAAGGCAAACTCATCCACGGCCTCGATGGCGTTATCTGCAAAGGGAAAGGACCAAACGCTACAAAACCAGCCCTGCTCTGTGCGCATCCGCAGCACTTAATGACATTAAGAACGAAACGCAGAGCTGTCTGCATCATTTCTCTTCCCTTCTAAGCCGCCGGGACGGACGGGACCCCCGCACCCCGCACCGTACCCAGGTCCTTCCTCTGCAGGGTTTTCCTCTTGCCCTGCTGGGCGTACACAAAGGCGTCTTTAGCGATGGTTTCCACGAACAGCTCCTGCGGGCACAAAACGCGCAGCGTCGCACGGAGGAACGGAGCGGAACGCCGCGCCCCGCACCGCGCCCCGCACCGCGCCCCGCACCGCGCCCCGCACCGCGCCCCGCACCGCGCCC